CGCCTAACCCACACCTGTGCCCACACTTGGGGCTATGCCCATACCTGTGCCTAACCCACACCTGTGCCAACACTTGGGCCTATACCCACACCTGTGCCCATACTTGGGGCTATACTCACACCTGGGTCTAACCCACACCTGTGCCCACATTTGGGCTTATAAACACATCTGGGTCTGCACCTATACCTGGGCTACACAGACACCTGCACTCACACCTGTGCCTGTACCCACACCTACACCTACACTCACACTTGGGGCTGCACCTCCACCTGGGCCTGCACCACACCTCCACCTGTGCCCATCCTCACAACTAGGCCTGCAGACACCCACCTTCCAACACAGATAAACAGCAGGAGGCTGCAGAAGGAGAAGATGGCGAAGCACAGGGCCATGGTCTTCTTGCGCCCCAGGCGGTCAATAATCCACAGAGTCACAAGGACACCTGAAAGGGGAGCGGGGAGGGGTAGGCAGCTCCTGATGTGGTTCCCAATGCCTCCCACCCTGGTGGCACAGCCTGTATCATCCCCTCCCCTGGAGGAGGGACAAGACCTAGTGACTCACTTCTAATGACTAGAAGACAGCAAAAGTGATGGGGTGTCACTTCTGAGGTCAGGTGATAAAAGACCGTGACTTCCATCTTGGTGTTCTCTCTCCCTGGCTCTTCTCATGTATTTGCTTTGACAGAGAAGGCCACCTGGCAAGGAACTGAAGGTAGCCTCTGGCCAACAGCCAGAAAGGAACTGAGGCCCTCAGTGCAAAAACTTCAAGGAATGGAATCTTGCCAGCAATCACGTGAGTAAGCATGGGAGTGGATCCTGCCCCAGCTGAGCTTTCAGATGAGACTGCAGACCCTGGGCCAGTGCCTTGATTGCAGCCACATGAAATGTGCTGAAGTAGAACACCCAGAGAAGCCACAGCACGTGTGAGATCATAAGTGTGCATTGTTTTAAGCCACTACATTTTCTTTTTTCTTTTTTTTTTTTTTTGAGACAGAGTCTTGCTTTGTCACCCAGGCTGGAACGCAATGGTGTGGTCTTGGCTCACTGCAAATTCTGCCTCCTGGGTTCAAGAAATTCTCCTGCCTCAGCCTCCTGAGTAGCTGGGATTACAGGCACCTGCCACTGTGCCTGGCTAATTTTTGTATTTTCAGTAGAGACGGGGTTTCACCATCTTGGCTAGGCTGGTCTTTAAATCCTGACCTTGTGATCCACTTACCTCAGCCTCCCAAAATGCTGGGATTATAGGTGTGAGCCACTGAGCCCGGCCTTAAGCCACTACATTTGCAAGGTGGTTTGTTACGTGGCAATAGATAACTAATCCAGGCACCCACAGGAGCCTGAATGGTGGCATTCACTGAATCCAGGCAGCAGAATACCTGGGTTCTGATGCCTCGTTTTGCCTCTAACTTGCCATGTGGCCTTGGGCTAGTCCCTTACCTCCTCTGAGCCTCAATTTCTTCATCTATAAAATGGGCCTAAAAATAACACTCTACCTCAGTAGAGGCAGTATAGCATAATACTTATTGGTAATAATAATAATTTAATTTGAGCTAAGCATTTTTACAACTATATCTAAATGTTTTTGAGATGGAGTCTCGCACTGTCACCCAGGCTGGGGTGCAGTGATGCAACACTGGTTTATTGCAATCTCTGCCTCCTGGGTTCAAGCGATTCTCCTGCCTCAGCCTCTTGAGTACCTGGGACTACAGGTGCATGCCACCACGCCCAGCTAATTTTTGTATTTTTAGTAGAGACAGGATTTCGCCATCTTGGCCAGGCTGGTCTCAAACTCCTGACCTCAGGTGATCTGCCTGCCTTGGCCTCCCAAAGCACTGGGATTACAGGCGTGAGCCACCATGCCCAGCCCCATTTTTACATCCATAATCTTGTTTAATCATCAAAATGATCCTCTAAAATAAATGCTATTAATTTATTGAATACATTTTTCCACAGTTATTCAGTTAATGAGCACCTACTGTGTGTCAGGAACTGTTCTAGGAGGTTGGGACACATCAATGAACAATAAAACAATACACATAGTAAATGAAGAAGAATCTGAGTTTCGGAGAAGTAAAATCACAGAAATAGTGAGTGCTTCCTGCTACAGAAATGTCACGTAACGTGACTTCCTTTTCTTTTTTTTTTTTCCAGGGAGCAATTTATTAGGCAGAGAGAGAAAGAGAGAAGCAGAGAGAGCTCCCACACCACTGTGGGAGGGGATCCCAGAGAGGAAAATCCCGTGACTTTCTTAAAGTCACAGAAATGGAGATTGGAAATGTTGAGTTTAACTTCTGAGCCTTCGTTCTTACCTACTGAGCTATGTGGGGAAAGGGTTTTAGAGGAAAGAGAGGCAGTGCAGTATCAGACTGAAGACTCTGGATTCTAGGGTGAGAGCACAGCTCTTAGCCCTGCCTGCTGTGGGGTACTCGGTATCGTAGCTGGGTTTTCCCAGAAGCAAACCCTGGGACAAGGATGTAAGTACAAGGCATCAACTTGGGAGGTAATCCAAGGAAGGACCAGCAGGAGAGTGGGGAGGTAAATCTGGGAAAGGAAAGCAACTGCCAAAAGGTGGGTATCGAGCAAGTCACCACCATGCGTGACTGGTGCTGAATTCCACTGGGGGACTCAAAAGCCAGCATAGAGCGTGTGCCTTGGAGTCTTCCTGCTGATGGGCAAGGACACTGGGGTATTTGTCCACCAAATCCCACAGTTATTGTCTAAAGGCTGCTCCCAGGTGCTAACTCCTTGGCATGTCCCTCTACTTTGCTTGCTTTTGGATACAGAGACTTCTCATTCCTTCTGAGATAGTCTTCAGGCCCAGAATCCTGGCAGTTGTATGTTGCGGGAACAGTTTCTGCTACACTGGGCAAATTATGTCACCACTCTGAGCCTCAGTTTCTTCAGTTGTAAAATGGGAATAACTATACAACTTCACAAGATTAAATTAGATCGTATCTGTAAGACATTTCACACAGTCCTTGGCATACAATAGGCACTCAATAAGTACTAAATATTATTGTAGTTGTAATAATTATTCCTCTTAAAGTAAAAAAGATAGATCACCTTTGCATCATGTGCAAGTTTGGATTTTTGACACTCTACTGTTCCTTTCCAGTGTGCCTGGTGTTGGAGGATGATTCTCCATGGGTCTCTCATATTTCTACACAACTTATGAGCAGAGGAACCAGCTGCCCTTTGGATCCAGGCTACTATGTCAGAGTAGTTTGTGTAGCAAACAGCCTTGGAAGATAGAGATACTGTTTCCTCCTGGAGCAAAGGGTAGGTTTGCTTATTGTCCAGTGTAATACAGATGGTGTCTCCCTTGGGGAGGTTTCTAGCAGACCATCATAAAAATCATATTTGGGCTCCCTAAGCTTGGGGTTCCCCAGCTGCATTGCAAATCCATTGCATGTGTAGCCTCCACCTGGGTCCTTCCTCATCATCCCTGTGGGACTTGGGTGCAAGTCACCAAGGTACTACTCAAGCTGCTTGCTATAATACTCTTGTCTCTGACCCAGGAGTCTCATGTCTTCTGCCAGCATGCATGAAATTGGGCAGCTTAATTTCATAGCCTTTAAGTAGGGTAAAATCTCAGCCTCTTCACAGTTCTTGACAACTTATAGTTAAGGACTGAAAAACAAAACTAGAAATGGGATTTGCTTTCAGGTGGGGCTGACAGTCACCGACTGAACAATTACCATATTCTCAGGCTTGCCTGCCCCAGCTTCACCTTGCATAGGTCCCTTACCTGGGAACTCAGAGAGGGTGGTCCACAGCAAGTCCATGTAATCCTCCTCGCTCAGGTACTCACAGGCCAGGCTGCATTTTGCCTCTACTGCCTTCTTCCGACTGGAGACTGGGGTTGGGAGAGAGAAGGAGAGGGAGAGTCATATACAGTGTCTCAAATCACACCTTCCTGCTCCCCATACCTCCTTCTCTGGGATGATTCCGTTTGGATGCCATAGGAAGAGTCCAGACTCAGAGACAGACAGACTCAGGTTTGGATACCAAGCAGTAGTGCTCCAGCTTCATCTCTCTAAGTGTGAATTTCCTCATAAAACTGGAGCAAATAAAAGCACCGTGCAAGTGGATTGAGAGAATGAAAGTGGGCTGTGGGTACGAATGTGCTTAGCCCAGAATTAGCATGTAGTAGGCACTTTAGTGGCAGACAGACTCTAGGGTGGCCCCCCATCCCCACTTCCTGGTAGTCACATTCTTGTGTAATCCCCTCCCCTTGAGTGTGTAGGCGGGGCCTGTGACTTGCTTCTAGCCAACAGAGTACAGCAAAGGGGACAGGATGTCTGTGATTGCATTACATAGGACTGAAATGCCCATCAGGCAGGACTGTCTCTTATGCTCTCCCTTGATGACTGTGAAGGAGCAAGTGGCCATGTGGGTGGCCTATGTGGTGGCAATTAGATGAGAGCAGCCTCTAGTTGCTGAGGGCAGCCTCAGCTGACAGCCAGCAAGAATCTGAACCTCTTAGTCCTACAACCACAAGGAATGTTGTAGGTCTCAAACTCCTGACCTCAGGTGATCTGAATGAATGCTACCAACAACCCACATCGGTGGGGTGGTGGGTCCTTCCACAGTTGAGCTTCCAGATGAGAACCCAGTCTTTCAGTCCTGGCTGATGCCTTGATTGTAGCCTGGCAAAGGACCCTGCTAAGTTGTGTCTGGACTCTTGACCTACAGAAGCTATGAGATGGTAAGTGTGTGCTGTCTCAGGCCACTAAGAAACAAAACACATTTATCATCTCATAGTTTCTGCAGGTCAGGAGTTTGTGGTAATGCTGTTATGCCGCAACAGATAACTAATACATGCTTATCACCTGTTCCTGTCCCTCACCATCTCCTCCTTTTTTTTTTTTTTTTTTTTTTTTTTTTTTTTTTTTGAGACGGAGTTTCACTCATGTTACCCAGGTTGGAGTGCAATGGCGCAATCTCGGCTCACCGCAACCTCCACCTCCTGGGTTCAGGCAATTCTCCTGCCTCAGCCTCCTGAGTAGCTGGGATTACAGACACACACCACCATGCCCAGCTAATTTTTTGTATTTTTAGTAGAGACGGGGTTTCACCATGTTGACCAGGATGGTCTCGATCTCTTGACCTCGTGATCCACCCGCCTCGGCCTCCCAAAGTGCTGGGATTACAGGCTTGAGCCACCGCGCCCGGCCTAACTTTTTTATTGAAAGTGAATTGGAGTGGAACCCAGTGAGTGGCCAAAGAGGTCATAGAAACAAGATTTCATACCTGGACCAGGCAGAGTTAATAAAGAAGGATGAATGCTACATTGCTCCCTTCCTGACCTTGCTTTACTCTCAAACTATGGGACTACAGGTATTGATCGACTTACGACCTATGCAACTTACGACCATTTGACTTTACGACCACAATCACTAGCCACGACTGCTCCGCGTCTGGCAGTGTAAACGTTGCCCAGCTGGGCGTACAACAGTGCAGACCAGCTTCCGGCAGCACTACCATCTCCGCGTGCATATAGACTACTCAACTTACGACCAAATCGTGTTACGACCGGTCTGTCGGAACCAATTGTGGTCCTAAGTCGAGCACTAGCTGTAGTCTCTCAAAGACAGAGGTGCAGTAGTCTGAAATGTGTCTCTCCAAAATTAATGTTGAAACCTAACCTCCATTGTGTTGGTATTAAGAGGTGGGGCTTTGGGGAAGTGATTAAGTCATGAAGGCTCTTCCATCATGAATGCGATTAGTGTCTTCATTAAAGAGGTCAAAGGGAGCTCCCCAGCCCTTCTGCCACCTGAGGACACAGTGTTTGCCCCTTTTATCACGTAAGGATACCACAAGAAGATGCTGTCTATAAAGCAGAGAGCTCTCACCAGATACTGAATCCACTGGTACCTTGATCTTGGACTTCCCAGCCCCCAGGACTGACAGAAATAAATTTCTGTTGTTTCCAAGTTACCCAGTCTAAGGTATTTTGTTACAGCAGTCCAAATGGACTCATACAACCTATCTGAAGCAGCCACTTAACAGGTAAGGCTCAGAGAGGGTGAGTGTCCCCCAAAGTTGCTCCACCTACACCTTCACTATCTCAGTTGTGGCATCTCCATCCTTCCAGTTGCTCAGGCAGAAAGCTCCGGACGCTTCCTTGACTCTTCTCTTTTATTGCAAATCCTGTCTGTTCAACCTTCACAATATATTAGACTAGAATTGGCCAGATTTCATCACTGCTGAGACAGAGCAGGAACCCCATCTCAGGAGTCTTCTGCCCACCCCTGGAAACATGGAAATAAAGGAAAATCTTGAATCCCTTCAAGGGAAATTCCAGGCACCTAGCTAGCCTTGAGAATTAACTGAAGAACTTAATAAACAGGAAGGTAATAATACCTTAACATAATAGCCACCCAAGGAGGTTAGAGCCACAGGATGTTTGGTTCCTTACAGAAACCAAAGACGGCATCTTAACACACGTCCCTGAGTTGGTTTCAGAAACCCAGAACCCCACCAGATGGAAAATGCTGACCACCATTGAGTAGACCTCAGATAAGGGAGAACTCAGGACCCAACTCTGACCACTGCCTTTGATTATAAATCTTTTCCTGAGGGGCCTAGAGAGAGTCACGCCCACATTCCTTCCTGCTGACCTCAAGTTCTTGAAAAAGCCTTATGTTCTTAACCAAATAATCTCTAAAGCCACCTGTAAGGCCCCCTGCTCTTCAAGATATCCCAATTTTGGGGACCAAACCAACATACAGCTTCCATGGATGGACCTGTGTCTTTGCCTGTAACTTCTGCTTTCCTGAAATGTACCCCGCCTGTAAAAACCCTTGCTTGAAAGTCACCCAGGAGGTCAGATCTTCAGCATGAACTACCTGATTCTCCTTGCTTAGCACTCTGCAAATAAACACTCTCCTTTCTCCCACTGCAAACTTCAGTGTAGATGTTTGACTTTACTGTGCTGGGTGAGCAGTAATACTGCTGCCGCTTTTCCCACTGACCTCCTCACCAGCCATGGTCCCATGGCCTCTTTCTAACACTTCAGTCAAAGGGATCCTTTTTAAGCCTAAGTCAATTCTTCTGCTTAAAACTCTGCAATGACTTCCCATGACACACACAGTAAAAGCCAAAGTCCTTCAAAAAGCTTCAAGACCCTCTGTTATCTGGCACTCAACAAATCCTTGATCCCACCTTCTACTTCTTCCTCTGTTGCCCCACTAACTCTACTCCAGCACGCTGGTCTTCTTGCTGCTCCTCAGGCAAGTAAGGCATGTGCCTGCCTCAGGACCCTTGCACTGGCTGCTCTCTCTTCCTAGATTGCCCTTGATTCCTCCCCATGATCAATTTCCTCACTTCCTTCAAGTCTTTCTTTGAATTTCACATTCTCATTGAGGCCAAGCTGACCACCCTATTGAAAACTTCACTCGAACTACTGCTCCTTTCTCTGCCCTACTTTCCTCATTTTTTTTATTTGAGAAACAGTTTCACTTTGTCACTCAGGCTGGAGTGCAGTGGCACAATCACTGCTCACTGAATTCTTGAACTCCTGGCCTCAAGCAACCCTCCTGCCTCAGCCTCCTAAATAGCTGGGACCACAGGCACACACCATCAGGCCCAGCTAATTATTGTATTTTTTGTAGAGATGGGGATTTGACACATTGCCCAGGCTGGTCTTGAACTCCTGGCCTCAAGCAATCCTCCCTCCTTTGCCTCCCAATTGCTGGTGTTACAGGTGTGAGCCACCACACCTGGGCTTGTTGCCATCTTTATGTTCATGAGTGCCCAACTTTTTTTTTTTTTTGAGACAGAGTTTCACTCTTGTTGCCCAGGTTGGAGTGCAATGGCGTGATCTCAGCTCACCGCAACCTCTGCCTTCCGGGTTCAAGTGATTCTCCTCTCTCACCCTCCCGAGTAGCTAGGATTATAGGCATGTGCCACCATGCCTGGTTAATTTTTTATTTTTATTTTTTTGCATGTTTAGTAGAGACAGGGATTCTCCATGTTGGTTCAGGCTGATCTCGAACTCCAGACCTCAGGTGATCCGCCCACCTCAGCCTCCCAAAGTTCTGGGATTACAGGCATGAGCCACTGTGCCTGGCCATGAGTACCCCATGTTTAGCCCCCACTTACAAGTAAGAACATGTTGTATTTGGTTTTCTGTTCTTGTGTTAATTTGCTTAGGGTAATGGCCTCCAGCTGCATCCATGCTGCTGCAAAGGACATACTTTTGTTCTTTTTTATGGCTGCGCAGTAGTTCATGATGTACAGGTACCATATTTTCTTTATCCAATCCACGAAAATATGGAATGCTTCATGAATTTGCACACAATGCTTGTGCAGGGACCATGCTAATTTTCTCTGTCTTGTTCTAATTTCAGTACGTGTGCTGCTGAAGTGAGCATGTGTGAAATGGGCAAAAATGTCTTGTAGTTGTACCTTTATAGGTTATTGTCACCTTTCATTGTCTTTGAGCTATGTTGTAGAAAAATGAAAATAACATAAATGATTCTTGTATTAATACATAGAAATGCAAATAATGTCTGGTGGTGATGCAATAGACTTCCCTATACATATATTGACCAGTTTTGCCTCTAGTTGTAAATTCATTTCAGCATTTCTAATTGCTTGTATATGTATTTGCTTTTACTTCTCCTTTGAACCAGTGGTACCCTCTTATTGCTGTTAATAGACAATTCTCCATAGGTCTCTCACATTTCTACATTTTTTGAGTAGAGGCACTGACTACCTTTGTTCTGGACTTTTTTTTTTTTTTTGAGACGAAGTCTTGCTCTGTCACCCAGGCTGCAATGGCACGATCTTGGCTCACTGCAACCTCCACCTCCCAGGTTCAAGCGATTCTCCTGTCTCAGCCTTCAAAGT